GGAATGCCGCTCTTGAGAGTCAATGAACTTGATCGGTTCGCTGCACCTTGACCTATTTCGAAACGTCACTTCGCGATACACGCGTCACTTTACGCATTTTCACTATTCGAAAGCCCCGGGCGCGTCACGCATACACGTAGAGAAATTCTATTCATACTCGTTATTCATGGCTTTAAGGTGCTTTTCACATATAATGAAGATATAAACTGAGCTGCATTTGCGGATGCTACCTACTTGAAAAATTAAACAAACACCACAATCGACAGCATAAGCTTCGAAGTCCATAGTATATGGACTCTCCTATATAGAATATGAATGTATATCCCCATATATATATATATATATATATATATATATATATATTGGTTAAAACATAAAATTATTAAAAATAATAAGAGGCTTTGAGTTAATCGTTCGAGTCGATGAAATTTACAGAGGGAGGAACTAATAAAGGATTTCAACCTTGTGATTTAATCTCACTTTATAATTTTATAATTTAAAGTTAGCCCTCGATTCGGTGAAATCCGGTGGATTTTAAAAGAAACCTATAATTCCCATATTTTTCTACTGGGTGCTATAAAATATCTCATGGCATACTTCTCTTATAATTTTCTCCAAGCGCAGCGCGGTGCGTCGCTTTGCATTTATTTTCTTCCTTCCGATGCACCTTGCCTTGCCGGCTCTTTCCAATGGCCCTCGCCACGACAATAAAAAGCCGCATTGAAACTGCAACTCTAAAGCCAATCGCCTCGCCAATGCCGCGCGCTAATCGACAAGGATTTCGCTCGCGTCGTTGGCTTGTTGGGCGCGTGCGCAAGTGCGAATTGCCAGTGGGCTAACAAGGGGGCGGGGAGTCGCTTCATTAATAGTAAAGATTTTTCGCGCGACCCACGACTGATTGCTTACGCGTCGCATCCCTTAGCGCTCAGGCAGATTAAGAAATTTTCAGATGCCCATTATTGTAAGATATCAGCGGTCGATGAACGAGACTATTCGTTCATCACCCTTAGCAACATAATTCTCTGACGTTGCAATTTGCGTTGCGCTAAAAAGCGAAAAGCGTCGAAATGTATTGGCCACTTTATGCAGATAAATATTGCTCGCTCATTGACGCCTCCACTTGCTTGCAATTCTTCTGCTTGTTCATCCAGCCTTCGTTGGGTTAACAAAATTTCTTCAAAATAACATTATAAAGATGCAAATTGTAGGAAATATTGATTGAGAATTTTTCCAAGTAGGAGTAGTACTGCTTAGGCAACGAGATACGGATACGTCACGATTTTCCTATTCCACTTTAATACATTATTTTGCTATTCTCGCTATAATCGTATTGAAAGCGTCCAATGCCGCCCAGTACGATTGATGTCAATAAACATACAATTTTATTATATTGTAACGAGCAAAGAAGTAAATTTAAACAAAGTAAAGAGGCAACGTGTACGGATGCGTCTCTTATCTTAAAACCTACTTACGCCTGTGCTTATACATTTGTTTATCTAATTTGCTCATTAACAATAAAAAATATTGTAAATAACATAATTAGCAATTTTTCGTCCAATCATAAAGCAGAGCTTGCCCGTAATAGCAACAAAGCGGCAGCTCTATTGTAAAAAGAGCATCGCTGCGATAGAAATTGTAATAAACCAGTTGCCCGCAATATCATATAAATAGTAACGATTTTTGCAGCAATTAACGAGCAATCACAATTATTTTCAAATCGCCCGTTGTTACGCATAAAACGCCATAAGGCCGCTCGCAGCCATAATTCCGAGATTAAAATGTCGCTGCGGCGCACAGACGACATAGCCATTAAATTCAAATGGCCCATAAACATTGTATATAAAATCTTTTAAATGCACGAGACCTTGCCTAACGAGCGCTTTCATTGTTTCAGAATAATGCGAAATTTGGAAAGGCTATCAGGCAGCGATCAGGACTCCGTCGATCAGGAGATGTACATCGACCTGGACGACGCCTCCGTTGACTCGCTTACTGGCAAACGAGGTCGTCACCATGTTGGCGCTGAGGTAATTAACGGCCTCGACAACTTCGGCCGCACTAGCGCGCATTCTATGCATTTCTACCAACATACGCGATATTTGGATTTCCGACGGTAGCCGCAAAGTCGAATGGCCTCAAAGCCGAGCAGCGTATTCTTCCAGCTTAAAAGTGTCGATTAGCGACGGTCAAGGAGAAATGAGAAATGAGGAACGAAAATGAAGCGCAATTTTTTGATTACGTTTTATTTATTTTATTTTATTTTTTCATTTTTTATTTTAGAGATCGTGTTGTTTATGGGCTTTCACCTAAAGCATTCGCCGCCTTGTTCATTTGCTCTCGTTGCGCTTCGTCTAGAGCTCGAGTGCTCAGACGCACGGTAAACGATATATGCTCCAATATTATGTTAATTAGGAGTTATCGGATTCCAATGGAGGCATACTTGGCGAGAAATGCCCTATTTACATATGAACGCGTGTAGAGGACGTAGCATCCAGTCGTATCGAAATTAAGTCACGCTAACTACGCGCGAAAGCTGATTTTGCACTTGCTGCTCGTGTGCGTGCTCAGATTCGCATATATATGCGCGAATGTGGGTACACGCGGGCCAAGTTTCCGCAACTGGTATGAATATTGCATATCGTTATGCAGCGATGAGATTCACTCGTATTATAGGGACGTAGGAATGAGTGGAACGAAGACAGAGACGCGAGAGAAGATACGTTGTCGCTTGGTTATTTGCAACAAGTATGTAGCACTTCCTTTCCCGTTCCGATATAATTTTTCTTTTTTTACTCTCGAATGCGCATCTCTCTATGCTCTTTTAATCAGAAGCGCCGAGCTCATAATTACAAAGTCTGAATTTTATTACGACGCTGTTTTTAAGAAGCTCGAACTAGATTGACTGCATTACCAAAACGAGCATCCTAATGCTTATTATATTTTGAATAATTTTGCAAAACTTCTGCTCCGTGTGATTAGATTGTTACCTCCCTTTTTTTTGACAATTATGTATCATATATCATAAAAGAAATAAATATAGATAATAATAAATTAATATAGAATATATCGTAATGCGTATGCTTTGTTAAATTAAGAAAAAATTTTTTTTGAAATTTTGTCGTAAGAGAGTTTTTTCTCTCTCTTCTCATTATTTCCAATCATTCGTTCTGTGCATTTCTCTTGATTCCGCGAGTGAATATTAAGTTCGGATGAAGTAAACGTAAAATAATTATACAATGCAAAGTTCTTTAAGTTCAATTCGTCTAGTTATTTAATTTCGCTCTAATTTGACAGGGAAAAACATAACGAAGTTTCGAAATTTCTCCAAGATAAATAACTAATAAATAACAGATGTTTATTACTAACATAGTAATTAGGATGTATACTATAATGGGCCAATTTTAATTGGACGCGTAACTTTTTCACGTCTTTACGCCTCTCGCGTGGGAACGGGGCAAGAATCAAGGAGAGAAGCAAAAGTGCGGAAGAGAGAGGGACAGAGAGAGAGAGAGAGAGAGAGAGTAAGTGTGAGGGAGTGAGTAAGAAGTTGAGGGAGAATGGGGGAGAGGGTGTGAGGGCGTGGGCGACTAGTGATAGGTGCGAGGAAGTTGGGGAGGGAGCGGAGATAGAGACAGAGAGAGAGAGAGAGAGAGAGAGAGAGAGATATGACGATGATGATGGCGATGATGATGATGATGATGATGATGATGATGACGACGTCGGGCAAGAGAGGCATCGGTTCGTGCGTGTGTTTGCATAACTCGAATTTCCAGTCTGCCACGACTAATGGTGCCTTCGAATCATTATAGGATACAGATTCTCATGGCTTCTTTTCGTAATGAAAGTAGTGATTGCCATATAATTCTACAATTTATTACGCACAAAATTCTGTTACTACGTTTTTATCATCCATTCTCTTACGCGAATTTTTCGTTTGCGCTAACAAGTACATATAAATTATCGGAAATGTACATATATTGGATAAATTTATTTTCGCCTTCGTAAATCACAATTAGCATACTTCATTGTTAAAAAAAATATATGGTATATATGTTATATTGGATTAAAATAAGCGGTTATTCCGCGTGTAATTAAATGCAATTTTTATTAACTTCAAGAAGCGATTCGTATTTTACCCACTTGAAATGTATTGCAATGTATTTGTAGTAAAAATTATACAAGGACTTTTAAAGTAATAATAGCTGACTTTTCGCGCTCGCATTTGTTATTTTCAACTCGTTTATTTAGTACGGAAAAACCGGAATAAGCTGTATTAAAAATATTATTTTGATATCTTATCGGCACGTAATTTTCTTAATATATCGCTAATATTTTTATTTTCAACGTGGATGTATACATGCTCGGAAAAGCATGCTGTAGGTCATGAACAATTTACTCATCACATAATAACAAGCTATTGTAAATAGTAGCAGGGAAGGCAGTTAATAAATTATTCAACATAAATCAATCAGAAATTGAAAATACATACTGACATTTTCATCGTGTGCTATTATATACATGCTCGACCACCGCAATCACTAGGCTAAGAAAAATTGCTCGCAATCAACACTTCCGTATTTAACGAGTCAAGCGAGAGTCGGACAGCCAAGATCCCATCGAAGGTGAAAAACCAATGCTCGCACCAACTGGCCAATGGGGGGCCTCGCCGTATCGAGAGCCCATCGGTAAGAATTGTGTTAGGGGCGGCTATGAATCGTTGTCGGCCCGGGGTGCGTTGGCCCGGGTGCGAAGGCTCGGGGAGGGAGCGGCGCGCGAGGCAGAGTGTGGCCAATTTCCGCTAATCCCGGGCTTATTGGCCGGCTCCGCAGGTGGGCGACGAGAGCGACAGCAGCGGCAGCGAGAGGAGCCCCAAGCGGGTGAAGCGGCGCAGCCGAGGCGGACCGCCGACCACCCGGAGACGGTAGAGCGGCATCTCGGCGCGGGGCATCTCGGCGCGGGAGCGGACCCTCAGGAGACTCGAGAGTAACGAACGCGAGAGAATGAGGATGCACTCGCTCAACGACGCCTTCGAGGTAGGCTGAGACCCGAGGGTCCCTTACTCCAGCGAGCGCGTGCCGCCGATACGACCAATTTATCCTCGCCAATTTCCCTTATCCATCGCTGCTACCGCAACGGGTCTTTGCAATTATTAAGCGCGCCTCCTCTCCAATCCTCGACACCTTTTCCGATACGTTCGTATGGAAAGCGCCAGCTTCTCCTATCGTGACTCTCAACACCCTACTACCATCGACTACCATAGCACAATTTTCACTTAAGCAACCCCGAATTAGCTATTGATATTCCCACTAAAATAACTACTTCGATATTGTGATATAGAGCTTGACAATAACTAAGAATTAACAGGATCCAGCGCGATACGTGACTCTGGATTTCAGTGTGACCGGCTTTACCTTTAATGCATTAAATAATTGCTGGTAATATCCAATTGGTATTTATTTGCCGTGAAAAAAATTCCCTTCCACACCACGGACGACTCCAGCAAATTAATGCGCGATCGCCGAATGATTAAAATCATCTTATTTCCCCGCAGTATACAAGTACTTCTCTTTAGATTTCTCATGTTTTATCGTTATTTGGGATTTCATAAGATCAGCAATATACTATCTCAATGTACATGTAAAACTAAGCCTTTCAATATCTTTGCCTACCATATTTACTTTGTAATAGAAATTCTCGGCTTGGTTATATTTAACAAGATAATGAAATTCAATGTACCGTAAGGATAGAGTTTAAATCGCCGTCAAATTATTATTCGTAATTCCAATTTATGTAATTGGGAGATTTAATAATTTCTTCTCCACGTTCTTTTATAACATGTCATTACTCCAACAGCATTAATAATTTCAGTTTTGTTGCTTTACTGCTGTTGCTTGGTTAAAGCTGATTGAAATTTACTTTTTGGTCTGACTTTACTTTCGTCTTCGCTCAATTCCAATTGCCGGCGCAAAGACGAGGTTTGCAGTTTCTTCAAACAGAACGATAATTTAGCGAGAAAATCTTTAATAACAAGTTTAATAAAGGACATCATGGCCGAATATCGATAACACATTATCACGCGAATTATAAAAATTTAACGAAATTTAGAAAATTGAACTAAACCAGTAGGGGTATAGTGTCTGTCACACATGTAATTCTTCGTATCTTATAAAATTTGCTGCGAACGAAGCAGTAAAGCTCAATGTATTAGTCCAAAATCAATAATGAAAATGCCATTCAATTCCTTCGCTTTCACCATTCGTTCATTTTCATCAATTTTTATGAAATTAATTAAATTCTCTTTTTATTAATCAAATCTTGTCCAAATGATTGCTTATCGTTAGCGTATTAGGATCAGTTTTAGAACCAATGTACAATTACATTTAATAGTTATTTTACAATTACATTTAATAATTCCATACATAAAGTTTGACAAATTCCCAATAGAATTAATAGTTATTCATTTTAAATCGATTATCATTTCGAGATTTTAATTTAACAATCTCATCTATAATTATTTTAAATACTTCTAAGTAAGCATCACAATCTTCAATGACTGATATAATTATAATGCGGCTAATGTTAAATAAGCGGTAATAGAGTTTTTAAGAACGAAAATCAGTGCGTTTATGTACGAAACGACCAATTATTTTTTTTTATAGTCCAACTTATTAATTAATTAATTATATGGTACAAGTTGCAGAAATACTTAAAAAAAAAAATTCTTCTTTAAATTACAGAGATAATTTGTTAATGCATTTAAAAGACATTATATTGTTTGCAATCATTTCTCAGGCCATTTAAAACATCGAACGATTCTCTAATACAAAATTCCCATCGAATTCGAATCGTATTTCGCAATCGTTAAAGATATTTTTCCATCATTGCAAAATAATTTAATTAAATTTAAAAAAAAAAAAAAAAAAAAAGGAACTGCAATGGCTTTCAATTGAATCTTAATTCCGTTCATTATATCGCGCCCACAATTTGCACTTGGCGTCAAGTCAAAATGCAGTGGTCCGAATCACGGTTGAGTCAATAAAATTGGGCAATCATCGAATAACGTAATACATTAGCTAAGTAGCATTAGCTGCGAACCCCCTCCAATTTCTCAGGAGTCCACACAGTTAATTTTGATCTTGAACTTTAATATCGCGACGATGGCCTTTCTGCTCCCAATCCCGTTCTCTCTACGCGTAAGCGAGTATTAGTACAAGCTCTTAAAGGCTATCAAGACGCCGCTGTTGATAAATTTGACGTTGGCCAATAACCACCGAAGCCTCCCGCCCGCCCCGTCCCCCCTCCCAACCCATCGCCCTCTCTCACTCGCCCGCTCGCTCGCTCGCTCACACGCACTCACGCACTCACGCACTCACGCACGCACACACGCGCACACACACTCTCTCTCTCTCTCTAGCGTAGCGATAAACCTCCCCCCTTCTACCCACTCGCTAAAGCCTTGGTACTGATGGCTGTATGCCTGCGATATACACTAATAAAAAATCACCAAATACAATGTGAAAATTAGCGATACCTTATGGTCTTTAATAATGAACCGATATCTTTTCTTTTCAATACAATTAATAACATCTATTGTCCATCATTTCATTATGAACACCATAAAAGTCGACATCCATTCCCTCATATTTTCCTCATACTTTCAACAAAAACTATTAATTCTATTGTATACTTCGAGACTATTTTCCTCTTGTGATGATTGCAAGCCACGCTAATTTATAAATGTTATGTTTAATTTGAAGTTGATTAAAAATGAAATCAGAAAGAAAATCTATAATCAATAATTCTCCTATTTCTTCGGTTACTCTATATACGCATTTATCCATATTTATAATACACTGGACAATGAAAATACATCTCACACGTCTATTAAACCTAATACATTTTGTATGTCAAAAACGATGCTTCTATCGAGTAGAGTGAACTCTGTAGATATAAAAATAGAATAATACTTTTTACCTTCAAGAAGCAAAGAACAATTTTCTCGTATTTATAAAAAATAAGAGAGGAAGAGAGAGAGAGAGAGAGAGAGAGAGAGAGAGAGAGAGGTAACTTAGGAAAAGCTTCTTTCTAAGAATCATCTTCGTTTATCGCTCGATTTTTTTTCAAATGATGACTAATCACTTATCACAATCGCATTAGGATACAAGTTTTTCTTTTAAAATCATTTCATCCAATGATACTTCACAGTTAGATTTTTTCTTGATAAAAGAATTTGTTTTTAGAAATTACACTCAATATTATCCATGAGTTTTCAAACTTTTTAAAGAAATAGCATTTTTATCTCAAAAATCAATATTAGTCAAAGCAAAATAATTCGATAAAAATATTTTATCAGAAATTATAATAGAATTGGAATTCTTTCATAAACTGAAACTAAAGACGAATATCCATGTATTTAATTCATACTTTCGATTGCATGAATGATAATAATTATAATTATAAACATTCTCGAAATTTAAGAACATGATTGGCAATATATGTGTATATATATATATATATATACATATAAAAGCATAATAGCTGTAAAACTATGTGATAAGCTCTATTTTCAATGTAAAAAAAACTTCTCTTATTGGTAAATGGTTAATTATAAAATATTATTGAAAATTTAGTTTAAAAATAAATATTTTTTTATTAAATAGTATTTTGTGCACAGGAATAATTTTGATTAAAAGAAATTAATAAATCACTGAATATACAATTGCTTTCACTATTAATTGATTTTATATAAATATAGTTTTTTAAAGCTTATTGGTTGAAAAATAACTTCGATAAAGCAATTATATGCATATGTGCATATCAGTAAAATTTATTTAATAGTCAATAATGAATTAATTATTTAGAAAATTTCAATTATTTTTTATTTTTGTCAGTCTTTGTTTATAACGGTATTAATTAAAAAAGTCATATAAATTTTCAAAAATATTCTATTATATGAGTAGATATAATGTACATATGCAATAAATATTCTAAGATATGCAAATATATTAACATATGATTTTATACATTCAACAGCAACTGCGAGAAGTTATACCTCATGTAAAAATGGAGAGGAAGCTTAGCAAAATTGAGACGCTTACATTGGCCAAGAATTACATAATGGCGCTGACAAATGTTATTTGTGAAATGCGTGGAGAGGAACAGCCTTACACGTGAGTTTATCCTCATCATTTATCTTTGATTCATCAATAAACATGTAATTCTGTCAGGATATAGAAAAATATATGCTATTGGTACATTTAATACGAAAAAAATCTTCGCCGTTATCTCAAAACATAATCGTTCATTTTACAAATAAAAATTTTTGCTTCCTCAGAAACACTAAATTAAATATTAAAGGATTAGTTTATAATGAAAAATACATAGATTAAAGTTATGAATATTTTTAAAATTATTCTTATTCGATGGTCTTATATAAGAGCCACGATGGTTTTTAGGTGTAGAAACACACTCACAGTTTGCGTAATATTTAAAACATATTTTCTAAATATAAAGGGTAAACACATAAAGTTTACACTGAAAGTTATTTAAATAAAATATTTTTTAAATAATAAATTTCTCATGGAAATAACTGTAAAATAAATATTTATCATAAATTATATAAATATTATATATACATATATATTTATGAAAATAAGTAAAGTTGTGTATCAATCGTAATACTGATTTCTATTAATTTAAACAAAATAATTCATAGACTTTATGTAGATAATTTAATTTATTAAATTTCGTTCGAGAAATTTAATAATTACATTGATATAAGAAAATAATCCAATGATAGGTCAAATACATAAAATTAGAATTCAATACAAAATTTTATGAAATGATAAGTACAAATGAAATAGAACGGAATGGAAAGATTGAATTTAAATTAATTTACATTCTATTTTCAATTTAAAATAATTGAATTAAACTAAACCAAAAAACTCATTATTGATGTTAATGCAAATTTTAATTATATACACTTAATTCTAAATTTTTAGATATTTACTATTTTATGCTTGAAAAAATATTACGATTTATAGCTCTTCAAAAAATCATTCACATTAATTTTTTTAAACAGTGTATAAAAAATTTTAAAAACTAACTAATTTATTATATACAAGCATTAAAAAAAACAGCTATTTCTCATTTGAAAATAATAAGCTTTTCTTATTGTTAAATAAAATATGAAAACATATCTAAAGAGTATGTGTAAAAATATATATATATAAAAAAAACTAATTAAAACATACAAATAAATTATAAATTATCTTTTAATGAGATTATATTTGTGTAAACAGATTTTAAAGTATGTATTACCGTATATTTGAACAAAATTATAAAATAATTATTATTATATAGAACTCTATATTACAATAGCTCTATATTTTAAATTTATTGAATTTTGTTTACACATTGCATAATAATATGATTCCCATGGCCAAATGTATTAGACTTAAACGAGCTGTAAGTAATGTTACGTCTTCGATCAAAACTAAAGTTAATTTAATCGAATAAATAACTTTGAGATCCCATTATCAGAAACCTTTAATGACACTTATCATTCCAATAAATTAAGTTAATCTTCGTTGCTTTCGGCTAAATATATCTTTCATATTCGGTTCAATCGATCACCCGCGTAGAAATCCGAACTACTAATCTCAGACGTACCATATTCGACCGCTGAATTAATGAAATCGAATCAACCGACACTAACCAATTGAATCCATTGTTTTCGCGCAACGATAACAGTGGAGCTTTAATAAAAAAAAGTAAGTCACAGGAGTTCTCAATAAGCAATAGTAAAGTAGAGCAGTTGTTAGCTCGATTTTCTCATTGGCTTGCGACAGTACTAAAATATAATGGTACGTGTTAGAAATTTAGCAGATATTGCACATTTCCTGGCAAAAGACATATTTGAGCCAATACTTCAATTAATGACATTAAACAACGATTAATACTTGTTTATTAATAGGCAAAAACGAATTCAGGTGTTATAAGTACGTTTTGGCCGTCCTTTTAAAAGAGTTCCGTTATACTTATCGGGCAACTCAACAAATAAAAATTAGCTTCCACTTTTTTTTATTTTTTAATTAAAAGATCGCAAGGACTCGTTAAATGTCGACATTAATTGTAATCATCGAGAAGTTTGAAGCGCAAACGTTTTATCGCTTCGTGCACACGAGGTGAAAACCGCCTGGGCAAAATACTCAGAAAGATAATGATAATTTATCGATTAGATTTTTATGTAGAAGATTTTCTCAACTTCAATGCTAATGGCATATATTTCCTTAGAGGAATTATAAAATTTAGATTAACATTGATTATACGAGATGAACATATTTTTTCTAAATACCGTGTAGATTATTAAAAGACAATTTGGGAAAAACTTCGAATGAATTGCATAAAAATATAATAAATATTGATAATAAACGATAATAAAACAAAAAACGAAAGAATTATAATAATAATAGCAATAATAGCAGCTAATGTAATTTTATAAATATTAATTATGATAGTGATAGTATTGACACATGATAGCAGCACATTAAATGAATAATCAAAATTTCATCATCAATTAAAAATTGATTGCATTGATCTTAATGAATTATTATTATTTTATAATATTTTTACTTATTATTATTATTATTGTTATTATTATTATTATTATTATTATTATTATTATTATTATTATTATTATTAATAATAATAATTAAACTCATAAAATTTTTTATAGAAACTGTAGATTACATTTCATCTTTAGATGCGCGTAGTTTCATATTTATATCGCTTATCACATTACAAATTTCGAAATCATTCAAGTGTAAATCCTTTGAGAGCTAAATAAACATATGTCCTCTAATCTAGCACCATTGCGAAAATTCTTACAAAATATATTGCGAAATTATTTTCTTATAATGAATTAGTGATTTCGTTTAAATATTAAGGAATTGATTACGCATTTTGAAGCAAAGCTCTCTTAATTATACAAAATATAATCATGTTAATGAAATAATATTAAAAAGAATTTTTATAAAAAAAATTATTTTAATTTTAACATAAAATTATTCAATTACCAGAGATTACATATATATATATATATATATATATATATATATATATACTCACTTAATACCTTAAAGGCAATTTTTATCATTTTTGACATTTTTGAACAATGTAAAATAATTATGTTGTTGTATTTTTCAAATAATAATATATTCTATTTGTTTAAATTACTTGTTATGTATAATTTCCTAAAATTATTAAAGTTAATAATACTACACTGTCTTTAATAATTAGAAATTCTTTAATTAGATATTATATAGATAATAATTAGAAAAACTTATAATATTATCTATTAAACTAAGAATAATCGAGACAGCAATCGCTGAATATACGAAAGAAAAAACAGAATCAATATCACAGCTTTGAAGAAAAGCATTATATTTACATTGCGATATAATTGCATTGTTTACATTGTTGAGCAATAAAAATTTAAA